AGCTTCTCCTCTCCAGGCTGAACAATCCCAGCTCTCCCACCCTTTCCTCCCAGCAGAGCTGCTCCATCCTCTGATCCTCCTGGTGCCTCCCTGGACTGTCTCCAGCAGCTCCATGTCCTCCCTGTGCTGGGATCCTTAAGTTCATTACAAAATAATCCCAGCCTTTGGCAGGGTAAATTTTCGTTTCCATAGTTGAGTTTTGATGGGCCACTTGCATGTCTGGAGTTGAAGAAATACCATTTCTCCTCCCAGGTCACGTGTTCTGCTCCCTTGGTTGTGTCTTTAACCTTGTGAACTTAATCTTTGTGAACTACAAAGATTTAACAGGCTGTCCAGAGAGGGGGGGAATATCCTCCCTGGGGATATTCCAGAGCCCTCTGGACAAATCCCTGTGCTCTGGGGTGGCCCTGCTGGAGCAGGGAGGTGGCACCAGATGGGCCACTGTGGGCCCTTCCAGCCTGACCCATTCCATGGTTCTGGGGCAGCTCTGGGGCTGGGCTGAAGCAGAGGGGAGGATTTGGGAGCGAGGGGATAAATCCTGACTCAGCAGCATTGCCAGTGTGTGCAGGCAGTGCTGCAGCTGGGTTAGGTTTCAAACAGAGGCAATGCCAAAGGAAAGCTTAGCCCCCCTGAAAGCCTAAAAACACACAAAAAAAGTTAAATTTCTTGTGGCACAAAACCCCCCCAGCAGGCTGAGCACCTGTAAAATTCCCTTACTTCTGGTGTTTCCACTGCCTTGCTCTGTTTATTCCTTGTGCTTCTTTAATCTATGAGCACATTTAGAGTCATCACATTCCCTGCTGGTCTCCAGGATTTTAGGGATGTGTGGATCTCCCTCCTGCTGCCTGCCAGCCAGTTCTGGGAGCAGGAATTCTGCCACGGTGCTGTTCTGATCCTCATTGTCTGCACTGCTCTAAAGCAGGGTGAGCTCTCCTGTTTAACTGTTCTCTGGAACAGGCACAGCTCGTTCCTGTTCTCCCTGGACACAGTGATGCTGTAGCAAAACCCACCTGGAGAACTGTGGAGGGGATAATTCCTTTTATTCCCTGAAAATGCCCTGAGCCACAATCCCAGCACGGATCCCCTGCTCCCGCCGTGAGCCAGGGTTTGGGTTTTTCTTTTCCCTTATTTAAACATTTAAACACAGGCACTAAATCCCTTCCAATAAAAACTGCTGGGTTTTGGTTTTTATCTGAACTCAGTGTTGGCAGGATTAGGAGCAGGAGGAATTGCTTCCCTAAATATCTCAGAGGTTCTTCACTCACAGCCCGATTCCATCTGCAGGGAGCTCTCCATCAGAGATGGACAGCCCTGGAATTCAGTGAGTGGAGCAGGGCAGGTGTCAGGGACCAGGGGATCTCTCCCATTTCAGAGCCCAGCACTTGATTTTCAGATTCTCTTCCACATGTGAGGGCCGAGTTTCCTGGGGTAACATTGGTAAAATAGAAGGATCTCTTGAGGGCCAAGACACGGAGGGGCTGGAGCGTGTGCAGGGAAGGGAAGGGAGCTGGGAAGGGGCTGGAGCAGCAGGAGCAGCTGAGGGA